GTTTGGAATGTCTCCAGAGGGAGAAGCAGCAAAAGAAAGCTCAGTAACCTTGGCTAATTCAACTGGTTTTCACCTCCATTCTGTCATTGCAGCAAAGGGCAAGGAGCAAAGCTCCAAGCAGCCTCTTCCCACCTTTCTCCAGCCCTGGGAAGCTGGGACATGGGCTGGCTGGCTGGGGAAGGAACGGCTTTTCCTAACCTTGTGGTCTCCCCCCAAGCTCTGGGGGATGCTTCACTGCGGCTGCCATAGAAACACTGCACGGGGGGGATGCGAGATGTGCTGCTGCCACCTCCTGGAGGAGGCCTGGATGGCGTGGGGTGGCTCAGGAGGTGCTGGGGAGATGCTCCAGGCTTGAGCTCAGCCCAGGGACGTGGGTACCCCGCCGTTTGGACCACAGCAGCACTCATCTGTTGCCACCTCTTATGGCCAGAAGCTTGCAGAGCATCACCCCAACATCAGATTGCCAAACCAACCATGAACTATTCACACAGCCACGAGCCCATGGTATCACAGGATGGTTTGGGTTGGAAAGGACCTTAAGATCATCCAGTTCCAACCCCCTGCCATGGGCAAGGACACGTTCCACACACACACAAACCTGCTCATGTGGTATTTTGGCCTTAGGTTTGTCCTTGGTTAGCTTCACCCTAGGGAGATTTAAGCACTTATTCTGCTGATAAGGCTCTCTGGGAGGATGCTGAAGGGCTGCTGAGGTCAGCTCAAGGATGAAGAATGGCTTGGGGGTGATGGTTCTTGCAGGAAGAAGCCCTCAACCAGTTACTCCTGGTCCTTAATGCACTAATGGAAGTAGCAGCAAGGAAGTACTCTTAGTACAGGGTGGTGTGTAAATCAGGCAGATGGAAGAGATGGGTGTGAGGTTTAGCTGTGTGCAGGGAGGAAGCACAAGACAATGAACGTGGGATGTGTTAAGAGCTGCAGCTGGTCGTTGCTCAGTGTTACGACCAAGAGCTGTGGCTCTGCTGCACACTGGAGTTTGCTTGGAAGCAGGAAGCCCACATTGAGCAGAGACCCCAGAGCGGCTGCTTCCATCCAGGTGGAAACCTCAGCTTGTGGATGGCTCCCTTGTAGTGAAGGTGAGGAGAGTTATGGACCAGGATCTTTGATGGCAGCAACCCAACTGCGGGGCAGCTGATGGGAGATGCAGTCTGGAGCCCTATAGCTGATCATTATGGGGACAAGTGATCAGAGCTGGAACACAGAACTGCTTGTGCTGATCACAGACTGGTTTAGGTTGGAAGGGACCTTAAAGCTCATCCAGTTCCAACCCCCTGCCACGGGCAGGGACCCCTTCCACTAGAGCAGCTTGCTCCAAGCCCCTGTGTCCAACCTGGCCTTGAACACCACCAGGGATGGGGCAGCCACAGCTTCTAATGGCCAAAATCATTGCAGTACGCCATGATTTTCAGTGGGGGTAATCTGTCACCACCAAGGGAAAGGTGTTCTCACAAGCTGTTACACCCCCTTGGGATGTCCGCATCCCACCCTGGGGTTGACTTTGCACTGGAGCAGATGGGAAATGCTTGCACCATTTGTGCTGCCTGCTCAGCTTCAGCAGCACCTCCTGCAAATCCCTTCTGCAGTGGTTGCCCCATCACAGACCTTTTCCTTACTTGGAGCCTTCCCTCCACAATTCCCACTACCTCCCCTCGGCCACCTTAATCTTGCCTTCCCAAAGACCTCATGCAACACGTGAGCAGCTCAAACACAACAGTTCAGAGGAGCAGGAGAAGGGAGAAAGAACCTAAGTAACACAATGCTCTCCAGCTTTTCAGGAGTGGGACACTGTCCAAAGGTATCAGCACAACCAGGGCACCGTGTCCTGCACCGAGCAGTGCAAATGTGACTGCGGTACCCGCACTCCTCATTGCTCAGTCCCTTGCCAGCCTGAAACAAGGCCATTGTTCTGCTCCATCCCATGACCTTAATTTGATGCTGGCAGAGGTTTTCCTCCGAGACAAACCCAAACTCTCTGTCACTGCAGTGAGCCTGGATCCACCTGACCAGGAGGTGTTCTAGGAGATGTTTGTCCATCCTACAGTTCACGTCCAAGAGATAATCTTAAGGTCCTTTCCAACCCTAACGATTCTGAGCACACAGCATAATCTTCTCTGTAACCATTTTGATCCTGCTTTTAGCTTAACCAAACTTCAAGCCACTAAAATGGTCTGAAAGAAAGAAGAAAGGGAATTCTGGGCCAGATCCTCAACAAAGCAGCCCTGAGTACAGCCTAAATGACCTCCGAATAATGATGTCTCCAAAAGTGGCTCTTCCCTGGAGCTCCTCTTAAGGGCTGGTTTTCTTTGCCACCTCCCCTGTTGATGGGGCAGGCCATGCCAGTCCTTTATCCATTTGGTATACAGTCACCAAAGCTTGTTTGCCTTGCTTGATGTTATGTGCAAGCTCAGCACTTTTGAGAACATCAAACAGCGGTGCAGGTGCTTTCAGAAGAAGAAAAGATACATCAGGGGCTCTCTGGTGTTAGGTAAGTGCAGATCTTTGACTCAGAAGGGAAATGAATTGGGTTACTGGTCAACAAGTAAATCTGGAGTTATTCCTTCAACCCACCACCAACCAGCCTGCCCCAGAACAAGAAACTTTGTTAGGAAACAGCTCTTCCCTGTGAGATACTGGTGCAGGGTGCCCAAAGAAGCTGTGGCTGCGCCATCCCTGGCAGTGTTCAAGGCCAGGTTGGACACAGGGGCTTGGAGCAAGCTGCTCTAGTGGAAGGGGTCCCTGCCCATAGCAGGGGTTGGAACTGGATGAGATTTAAGGTCCCTTCAACCCAAACCAGGCTGGGATTCTATGATTTTGAAGGGTGAAGAAAATGAAGACAAAAAGCAGCTCACATCACAAATAAGCACATTGAAAGGTTGTGATGGTTGTTGCTTTTACATTTTACCTGTAAATGCTTCCCATAGACTAATTCTTCCACTGAAAAAGAAGCCGGAGTTTCCCTTGATGAGATCTCACCTTGTGTCATAGCAAAACAAGGTTTTCCATCTCACTTTTTCTGGCCTTTGCCCTCGGCAAAATTAGGCCAAGCTCACTCAAATGAGTTCATTATTCTTATTACTCATTCCACCTACAATCCGGGAGCTCCTGTGCTAGTTCAGAGGAAGAACACAATGCTAAATGCTGCATAATGCATGGGAAAGTTTAACAGAAAACAGGGATCCCCCCAGGTAATGGGGGGGATGCTCCAGCTTCTTTAAAAAGATAAAAGTAGACTGGACAAAGCAGCAGGAATTAAAACACCAAACCCATCCTAATTCTAACAAAGAGGGGGAAGCAGGAGTAGATGTCCTTGCCCAAAGGTAATTTAGATGAGGGATTTGCATCCTTAATGAAAAGCATGTGTAAGCTTGGCTGAGCACTGAGCCTGGTTCTCAGCTGTAACCTATAAACAGGTAACACTCACTAGGGAAAGTATGAGGAATCACAATCACAGCATGGTTTGGGCTGTAAAGGACCTTAAGATCATCCAGTTCCAACCCCTTGCCATAGGCTGTACTAGCAGGGCAGAAGGAAGCTTCCACTACAATGAACGTGGTGTCATGTGCATAGAAACAGAGTGTACTTTGGAGTGATTTCTGTGGATTTGATGTAAAACCTCTGCTCTTTGACCACCACACTGCAGGCTGTAACACTGCAACTGGCTCCATCTCATAAAATCCTTGAAGCCACTGAAAACACCATCTCTAACACCAATCTCTGCAACTCTTCCCACGTTGTTTATTTTGTTACAAGAATAGTTTTAAGACAGAATAAAACATCAAGTTAAAATCCATTTTTGAATAACAAGGAGACTTGGCAAGCCTCAAATCTCAAGTCATCTCTGCTGGCTGTCATTGTGCAGCACAGCAACAACGTACCGATCCCTCACCTCAACACGCGGTGCTGCACCCTAATCCTGCACTCCTGCAGAGCACCCCATGCAGCAGCAGTGCAGACATTACAAAGGAAATGCTCTTCTTTCCATTGTTCTATTGCTATCTCGTCGCAATGATGATGCAGCTTTCAGTCTCCTCGTGTTATCCCTATATCTGGCAAAGACAAAAGCAGCCCCTTGTGCCCTCCCCAATTACTGTATAACCACGTAGATTCTGTTGACTTCAGGAAGGGGAATTAACAGGGCATCAATTAGCCTATTAAAAATTCATATTCTTGTGCAGGAGTTATATTGACCTCTACAATTAATATATTAATCATCATTAACTTGCTCATTACATGACTCAGAGGGCCTGAGTTCTATTTAGAAGCACCCAAACATCCAGAACACAAACTCCATGGGGAGGGGGTGGCTGAGGCCCTCAGACCCACTTACTTCAAAGGATGAATCATCAGAGGCTGGCTGGTATCAGAAGTGGCCTGGACAAGCAATGAGGCGAGTTAAGCTTTTCCCTGGAGGTGTTTCTGCCTCTTGGCTACAGAGAAATAATGCAGCTTGGCTGTGAGCAAACCTTTCATACTACATAAACCGAGCAAAAATGTATTTATACAGCAAACCTCTGGGAGTAAGTGCTCCTTCTAGAGCTTCAGTACGTATTTCAGTAAGAACAAAGACACTCACAGTATCTTCTTTTTACTCTACCCTTCCAGTGTTGACATAGAAGACAAAAATCAAGCCTCCCCCCTACACACCTATTACTCTGGGTTGTACGTGTCACTGCCACAAAGTTATGCAGCTCTAAGTGCAGAGCAAGTGTGTAGGATTCTGAATGCCATCAGAATCAAATATAACTGATGCAGACATCAGAATGTGGAAACAATAAGAAGTTTGGGTATAGGCACATGAGACTGCCAAGATAACTGTGTGTAATTTACTGATATTCCTGAGGTACAGTGTTTTAGCCCTAGTTCTTGGCTACCTCTGTTGTATAAATGACTGTCCTATTTTATAGCATCTCTAGCAGAATGGAAAGCAAAACTTTCCATCAACTCCTGCAGCTGACACTTAAAAAGCACCATGACTGGACTAGTGGGGCTCCTGCCTGGTTTTAATTACATGGCTAACTCAATACAAGGGTAAACACTTGCTGTATCTTTCTCAAACCAGATTTCATGCCATGGTTGAAGCAGTGGCTCTGCTGTCGGGCTGGAGGTTGATGAGGGAATTGCTTGCTTGGGCCAGCTCTGCGATGGAGACTCGTCCTCGCTGTTTGATGTACTGAGCCACGGCAGCCATCTCCTCTGGAGTGATGTAGATGAACTTTCCTCTGTCATCAATCACACCTACAGGGGGAAAAGAAAGGACCTTGAAGTCAGCACTTCGGCTCCTCTCACTTCCCCACTGACATCAGTCGCTTCTTTTGGAAGGGACATTCAAACTGCTGAGGCTGCATACCATATCTAGGGCAGGCAGAACAACGTGCCAGCAGCCAGGCTTTTATCTCCTCTCTACTGCTGGGTCTTTGAGCAGGGCTATGACAATAGGCAAGTGCCCTGGTAAGAGTGTGTTCAAAGTAACATGTTCTTTTCATTGTATACAGCTATTTGGGAGTACCACAGCAGTTACTTCAGGTATGTAGTTTTGGTGCTGATGTTCTGGGTCCTCAGGGGGCTGGTGGAGAAAGGCAGAGAGCAGGAGGGTCCAGGAGGTGCTTCAGAGCCCCTGTGGGGCCCAGTTCAGCCATTCCAACCTGCTCTCTGAAAGGAAATGAAGCTTAATTCCCATATTTCAGTTGCACCATCAAGAATGAGAACAGGTCTCTCTGTTCCTAATGCATTACAGGATCACACACAAGGCAGAAAGCCTCGCTGTGGGTCTTTTGAGGCCCCAGACACAGACAGGACAGTACACACCCTTTATGCTTTGATTCAGAGCACTTTTAGGTCATTTGAATGGGTATCCACATGCACTCACTAAGACAGTTCATTCCCAGCCATAAACCACAGTATCAGGACAATAGATGTTTGTGTTGGCACCTTCCTTGACTTCATCCTTGGAAACAAAAGAACTGCCCAGCAGTAAGCCAGACTTGTGCAGACAGGGAGCTGCCCACAGGCTCAGTCTCTGCTTACATTCCAACTTCGATTGTGTGGGCACATGGCTAGGAGCAAGCACTTCACTTACTACAGCATCCCGGAGAGCCCTGGGATGTTTGCTCTCCCACAGCGTGCCCTACCCTAGTCTTGGCTTTAGCCACAGCACCTTTGAAACAGGTTTGCAAACCACCCCCAAAACATCCAAGGGATTTCTCCAAATACAGGTTTCAGAAGAGATCATTTTTAGCTGGCTCTGCAACTCCTGCAGGCCTTCAGCAGGGCTCAGGCAACACACAGAAGCCTTCTGCTGGTTCCCGCGCTGTTGGGAACATTCACACTCTGCCTCTGTATAATGCATCCTAGGAGCAATCACATCCCATTGTGCTTTAAACAGGAGTTAAGCAGGGATAATAAAAATCAAAGAATCCCAGCCTGGTTTGGGTTGGAAGGGACCTTAAAGCTCCTCCAGCTCCAACCCCTGCCACGGGCAGGGACCCCTTCCACTGGAGCAGCTTGCTCCAAGCCCCTGTGTCCAACCTGGCCTTGAACACTGCCAGGGATGGGGCAGCCACAGCTTCTCTGGGCACCCTGTGCCAGCGCCTCAGCACCCTCCCAGGGAAGGGCTTCTGCCTAAGAGCTCATCTCAGTCTACCCTCTGGCAGGTTCAAGCCATTCCCCTTGGCCTGGCCCTACAGGCCCTTGTCCAAAGCCCCTCCCCTCCAGGTTTCTTGTAGGCTCCCTTCAAGTCCTGCTAGGATCCTTTACAGTTTTAAACAGACATTACACTGGAAGTCTCTCTCTACCACAGCAAAGGAGTTCTCTGCACCACCTATTCAGCAGCTATCAGAGTCCCCTTTGCGTTTTGGCTGTCACCTGTTAGAGTGCCGTCTGCCATCAGGTCCTGGATTCTGTTAATTGCATCCTGTTCAGAAAAGAAAAAGGAATAACAAACAGATCAAGAGGGAGGCAAAAAACATTTCACACATTCACATGAATTACAGGTGGAGGCTTAGATTTCATTCTTCAGCATTAAAATCTTAACTGAAGGATACACGAGTATTTCCACACAGACAGATGCAATGAGCCCTTTGGTTTTCTGAAGGATGAAGTAAGCTCCTACATTCTGGGGTGCTGAAATAACTTCCCTACCTCCAAAAGAGACTTCTATTGCCAGGTTACCTGGCTGATTCCAGGAACTGGGGGTGGTTACAGCAATCTTCCCAGGGAATGGCTGTATTGTGTGAAGACAAATCTGAATACACTCAATATATTCCAGAGCTTTTTATACTTTTCCCTCCTCCATCAAAGAGGAAATCTCTTTTACCAACCCAAAGCAACAACTCATTGCATCTGTTGTAGGTTAACTCTATAGCTACTCCAAGCATGCAGATCTATTACACCTTAAGCTAGTATCTCAGCCTTGGTTTCCACAGTTCTGCCTCTCTCCCTTTCTTGTATTTATGTGAGTGCAGAAGCAGATTATGGTTTAGATTTCAACCACAGAAATTCCCTTAACTGACTCACTGGATGCTTAAATGAGGTTCTGGTTTAAGAGAGGCAGGGGCACAGCAGCCTGGGCTTACAGCAGCGCACACGGCTGTGAGGGGGCATCCTGAGATCAGAACAACAGAAAACATTGGTCACTTGAGAGATATACACCAAATGTGCTCTAATTTAAATGAGCCAAGACACAAGTATACTTCCAAGTTAAACTGTAAGATGTTTAGAGAACAGAAAAAGGATGGGGGTGGGGGGGGGAAGAACCAGCCTTTGCTGATCTTCACCAAAATCCAGCCTTTGCTGATCTTCACCAAAATCCAAGCATCTTCAGCAATGCCAAGACACTGAGTGGGCATTATCCTTATATTATCCTTATATATCCTTATATCCATATATTATCCTTAATAACCCACTTTCTCTCCTCTCCTTTTAAACCTTTTAAACCCATTGTTTCACTTGCACCCCAACAGTTAGTACTTACCTGTGTTCTTAAACCCAAATGTGAAGCCAAGTCCTCCAGCTGGATGACCTTTGTTTTCTATGGGAACAGACAAGAGTTAACTGCAGCTGATGAATTAAAGGGTTAGCATACTTCCTCTCCTTTCAAGCAAAAGATACACCTAATAGACAAAGTAGAACCCGTCATTCTAACTTTGCCTAATAAGCACTTTTCTCTGATGAAAAAACTAACTTAAGTTACTTAAATCAGTCTGCTTTGTGGAAAGACTGAATGCTCCAATGTACTTCGGTGAAGACTCAAATACTTTTGCTAGTGTTCATCCTGAACCTTTCCTTACATAGTGGAATGCATCCCTGCTCATGGCAGGGGGTTAGAACTGGATGATCTCGAGATCCTTTCCAACCCAAACCAGTGTGATTCTATGATTAAGAGGACATAATGAGCACTAGGACAAGAAACAGCCATGGTTCTGCTACCTGAGCTTCTCAACTCTACTTTTCATTTCCAGTGTGCATTAGCCAGATCCCTTTTTGTTAGAGAGATGTTTCAAAGTACCTTTGAAAATGATCACCGGTATATCAATGCATACATAAAATCCAGGCAGGACTGGCAGTATCAAGTGCTTTAGTCTGTTTTACTAATGTCATGTGTATTAATGCCATAGTAATCTTCCTAAGCAAGTGAACACCTTATTAAAGTTGTCAGTGTTGGAAGCGTACTGCTAACGTGCTCCTTTGCAGGCAGTGTGATGATCTGAGAGCAAAAGCAGAAGCAGGAACTGCAAATACTCATTTTGTTGATGACAGAGATTCTTAGGGCAGCCTCTCGGGTCAGGATGCAGCCACCACTGCTCACATCTGGTTTTAGGCTTCTCTGTAGCTCCAGAGAATCACAGCTTGTGCACTCATCTGGAGCTACTTGGTTCCTATTTTCTGATCTGCAGAAGTTCTCAACACTCGTCTGTTTAGATGCAGTAGAAGGATGCACTGTTTGTAAGGAGCTTGGAAAACATAACACTTTGGAAACATTCTGGACTACATTCCTAAGAACTCACATATACAGCCACAAGAGCTGCATCTACATTATCGGATGCAATACTTCTAACATAAATGCATTTGGTTCTAATCTTGGAGGCCACTGAAGAAATAGAAGCTGAAACAGATAAAGCTTCTTAGTCAATAAAATCAGACCCATTCCCCCAAGAAAAAGCCACACACAGACTTTGTAGTTGTGAAGTTTGATGCAGCCAAGCTAGAGAACTGAATACCATGGACTGAACGCATGGAGTTGGAACCAGTCCATGGAATTCAGTTCTCAGAGCTGGGACCTGCCAAGGTTCATCACATCTTCTTTTAAAGGATGGGGGGCCTGGGGGGTGGGTGGTGCAAAGCCACAGAAACAAGAAAAACAGGATTTAAACCTTCACTTCGAGATATTCACCCTCAATGACCAAGTTCAGTGGAAGCTTTCCAAGATAGATCCTGCTGTGAATAAGAGCCCAGAGGGTAGGGTGGAATTAGGATGCATTCCCCCCACACACACACACTCTCTGAAATGTAATGACATTGTGAGGTCCCACTGAACAACACACTTCATGCTTCATGTTCTAGACACAGGCTTAACTTTCATAGAGCAACATACACACATCCACATTTCCTGAATTCATTTAACTTTGGGTGTGATTCTGCTGTTCTCAGCAAGGGATGAAACAGAGCAAGAGCTCTAAGGATTGAATATGAATGGGATCTTTCTGTCCTTATCTTGTAAAGATCATTTTTCCTAAAGGAAAACCAGGAAGGGGTAAAGCCTCTGAGCCCTTCACTATCCCTTTCAGATTGCTGTTTCAATTCACTGGCTGTAACTCAGATGCATTCAGTGATACCCTATCAAGCTGGGTGAGAAGAGTTTGATGGACAAAGTGCAAGCTCCTATTTCCATGGGCCAACAGAGCTGGTGCTCCACAGGCAGGGAGCTGCTGAACCACTCTTCAACCTCTGCCTTCTGAAGCACTAGGAGAACCCACAGAGCTGGTTTGGAAGGCGAGTTGTGTAGCTACAGCACTAGGTAAAACCACAGAGCTCCCACCAAGAGCTGCTTATTCTGCTTATGGCTGCTGTGAGAAGCAAACACAAAACTGCAGCAGAGATGGTGTCACACCCTGAGCGTAACATGGTGTCTCTGCAGCACATGGGTTAAACAGGCAGTGGGGCTGCTGTGAAACCCCCATAGGAAGGGAGATGCTCTGCTTTCAGACAAGCAGAATTAGGGGCTGTCAATCCTTTTGGTACCTTTAAGAAATATCCCATTTAGAGCAACTCCACGTGGCAGCGCTGGAGAAAAGAGGCTGCATTTTACTTCCAACACCCATAGGAACAAAGCATGGCGTGAGTTATCTCCAGCCACTTACACTGCTAAAGTACATTGGTTTTTAATTCATACATTTTCAGACTGCTTGCAGCTTAGCACTGCTTTTTGATCTAACTCAGTTTCTGTCAATAGAAGAGATGGGGGCAATACATAATCTATATATTAAACATACTTAATATTAAATAGATAAAAAGCAGTATTAAAACTTGCAGAAAAAAGCAATGCCCCAGTTCTGCAACTCATCTCCACAGAGGAAATCAGATGTCAAAGTGCTTCTGAATGAGGTTTTCAGCCTGTGCTTAATTTCTCTGACGTCAAGTAGAAGTGACTAATATAAAACTACACATGTGTGCTCAAACACTGAACTGAGAGTTTGTGACTAATCTGTTCCAACCACCACAACCATCAAGGCAACGTGCACAGTAAGAGCCTCCTTCGTTATCCCTTGGAAAAGCTCCTGATTTTCATGGAAGATCCCAAGGGACACTGAAATATCCTATTGTTCTACCTACTGTTGCTCTAGGGCAGCTTGTTTATCAAAAGAGAACAGCACATTTTCCTTAAGCAGCAGCTTGGCAGTATCTTGAAAGCCTTAGATGGAAGAGGTGAATTGGGATCACAGTGTATCACATAGCCCATAGTAACTGAGATGGAGGGTGGTCTTGACAGACAAGGCCAGTTCAGAGTTCCCAACCTCTTCACAGAAACCCCTCTGGCTTCCATGGAAAACAGAATACTGAAATCCCTGCATGGCTGCAAAATGAAATGTGCCATCTGATGGTTCACTGCTACCCCACGGTTTTATTTAGGCTCTTCAAACATGTTACCCATAGCTTTTCCAATCTATTCTCAGCTGTCACATCTGCTTCTGGTGGTGCTTCTGATCAGAGCTGTCTCATCTGCTTCTGGTGGTGCTTCTGATCAGAGCTGACTGGCTTAAGCTGAGGACTTACTGAACAGGGGCTGTTTCCATGCGAGCTGCAGCAATGATGGTATGTCCTAATCCGAGTGCTACTACCTTAGACATTCCCACATTACTACCAGAGATCATGTTAATCAGGAAGCTCCTGACAGAGGCAAACCCAGCAGCCTCTCACTGCATCATGATGGCAATGGGATACACCACCAAAGTGCCACTGACACAGGAGGCAGAGAGCAGCACAGCAAAAGATGCTTGTGCCATAGATGTGCAGTGACTCTAGATCGAGTAGGGGGCTGGAACTAGATGATCTTTAAGGTGCCTTTCAACCCAAACCAGCCTGTGATTCTATGAGTTGCTCAGACTTTCACGGCAATCACTCAAATTCACTCCTTGTGGAGAGATACACATGAGACAAATCACAGATATGTTTAAGTCCATGGTTTTGCTGGGGTAATGGACATGCAAAACTGGCCCAGACTGTGGATTAAAAGAATGATTAGAGAAGCGGTGGCTGCCCCATTCCTGGCAGTGTTCAAGGCCAGGTTGGATGGGGCTTGGAGCAAGCTGCTCTAGTGTAAGGTGTCCCTGCCCATGGCAGGGGTTGGAACTGGATGAGCTTTAAGGTCCCTTCCAACCCAGTCTGTGATTGGGTGATTAGGACTTCACTAAGTATAGAAGCAATTTGCTTACTAAAGAAACCTTTCACACACACACCATGCACTGTCAGATAAGATTCCAGTTTCCAGGAAATGAAGGAAGGGGTTCATTAGGACAAAAGATTTGCATAACATTGTTATAGTAAGAGTAGAAAAATGCAGTTGACCTTTGATACAAAGAAGCATTGTCCTTACAGGTCAGAAGTAGAAAACCTCCTGAGCAAACCACAGCTTTTAAATAACCAACCATACAACATGCTGAAAGGGAGACTGACACACCCTGTTAAAACAAGTGATCTGCTTAAATATCCCTTCTGAACATTAAAACAACATTGCAAACTGCACAGATTAAAAACAAGAGAAGAATTTGCTCGAGGAGTTGTGTTGACCTTTACAATGCCAGTGTTTCAAACACAAACACATCCTGCATGGCAGCCCCACGCTGGCACAGCAATTCTCATTCACGCTGAGCTGAGATGTAGAGATTTTCTATAATCAGTAGCTGATGTTCACAAACAAAAAGCCTGAATGTCCCAAATCCCAGTCAACAGCAAACACTGCTCTTCATAAACGGGGATGGTGATCCAGCAGGGACAGAGTTCATAACGCCTGTCCTTATGAAAGAGGGTTAAGAGCTGCAACCCTGCCCCCAAAAGCCAAGACACAGCTATAATTACAAACCATTTTAACAATGATGGACATGCTCATGCATGGTTAAGTAAATAACACAGACTTTAGCTAAGGTAGCACTTTTATTACTTATTAAACATTGAAGTAAATCAAAGAGGAAGTAAAGATTTGCCTTTTTTCTGCAGCTCAGCTCTTTGACAAAGGTATTTCATACAACCTAACAAGTATGGAAAGAGGAGAAAGACCAGCCGTAGCTTACCTTAACGTATTCCAGAAATTCCATTAGGAAGCTGCGAGACTGGATACAGCAGGAAAACAAGTGTTAGTTTAAACTCATGAACATTAAACGCATCACAGCCTTGTTTAGCCTGCATCCTTCCGAAGCTTTAAACATACACCGAGGGAGATTTTGAACTGGAAAAGAATATGCATCCAGATTTAATCTTAACGAGGAATTTAGGAGAGGTATTTTCTAAGGCACAACATGGCTCAAGTGCAATTTGTGTTTCAGTGTCTTTTAAAAGGAAATCTTCAATCTTTTCTTCTTCACATCCTACATACCCCGAAATAAGCACATCTGGGCGAGTTTGTGTATTAAGTTATGCACACGCTGAGGACATTTTGTTCAGAGGTAAGAGTGCAGAGCGATTGAGGAGACAGAGCTCATACAGATGGTCAAGGGTAGCACGCAGCTGTGCAACACATGTGGGAGCTGAAGCCGTTTTCAAAGCTACGCACCTGAAATCCAGCATTTCAATACAGGCAGCTCAATTTTCAAAGGCAAATGCAAACAATGTGCATTTGAGTTAACAGGGGATCAAGTTCCTCTGCAACCCTGGAAATCAATCAGCCTTCATTAAGTGCTTTGCTCTGGACTCAGGGCCTTAATTTGCAGCATGAGTTCCAGCACGTTAGCCTCAACACAAGGCAGTCAGCTCTTTGTCACAGGATGCTAAAGCACTTCATCCACCACATGGCAGAAGGGTGGTTTGCCATTTCTGCAAGGCTGGTGTCTCCAAATAACTATGTCCCTGTTATTGTTTATGAAGATGACTTTTAAATCACCTACTATTAAAGTTCTAACTCCTCACCCCTACCAAAGATAATCTTACATTGAGATCCAGGCAGCATCAACTGCCTGCCAAGCTCTTTTGAGTGAGGAACACCCTCCTCTGCTCCCACACAGAGACAGATTAATATCTCCTTGACAGGCAGCTTTAGGAACACATTCTGGGTCTAAAGGGTGGTCTAAAGTGGAGCAATTTAACATTTAGGTATAATCTGATCTTCTAATAGGCAAGTATGCATTTCTGAAGGAACCTGTAATAGGAAGTATGCATTTTGCTGTTCTCCTCATCTTAAGGAATTCCCCATCACCAGATACAACTTCTCTTGGAATGGTGGAGGAATTACGTTAATGGAAAGGGATCCATAGTGAGATCTTGTGACTGATGTCAAGCAGCACTGACTCATTACAAACTTCTCAGCCCAAAGCACCCTCAGTCACGCTGAAGGCAACTCCATTCAACTCAACAGGGTCACTTTGCCAGAGAAGCAAATGCATTGGGCAGCCCAAATTTGGCACCTTCAACTCAAGAGCACTTTGATAGCAATTAAAACGAGACTAACGGGTTTTCAGCAGGCAGGAGAAGAACGCTGCCTCCCACAGCACCGAAACTTCTTCAAGTTTGCTGTGATATTATGTCAAGTACCACGTCTCAACCACCATCCCCAGCAGTGCGTCTGCAGGCAGCCACAGCAGCAGCATGAGAAAATTGCTATGCATGAGTTTGAAATAGTCAACCCTAGCAATCATTTGCAGCACTGAATGCCCAGTTTTCCACTGGATAACCCACAAACACACAGGTTATGTCCTGTGAATTCTCTTAACAGCAGCCTTTAAGGCAAGAGGTTGGTTTTCCATTTGATTTCACAACAGCTCCGTTGGTCTAGAAAATAAAACCAAAACCAAGCAATTCCCTCCAGATATGTGGGCACTACCAACCTCCAAATTTAGCCTTACTTTCATCTGGCCCACTGTATGTGGGCAAGGCAGAGCTGATGACAGTAAAAGTTTATCTGAATTCCAGAAAGAGTTTTATTTCAGTGCTTAGATGACAGGAGGAGAGACCTCGTTTCAGCAATATGCATTTTGCCTCAGCACTCTTAAGCTATAGGAGACTGGTATGAGGAACTGCAGCATTCCCCAGGAAATACTCCAGGTTAACCTGTGCCATCTACACAATTTAGCTTTAACAAACAAAACTATTTGGCTGACTCCTGCTTTAAAGTTCTTTTTCATGAGACAGAATGCACTAAGGACAACCCGAGTCTTAACAAAGAGAAAGGAAACTGCAGGAACAGCCGAAGACACGTACCTGTTCTTCTGTCATTGATTCTTCAACCCCTTCCTCTTCAACTACAAAACTCTCCTTCAGCTTCAGGTACTCTTCATACTCTCTCTTTTCCTCTTCTTCCTTTGCCTTCCTTTTCTCCTCTTCCTGTATGGAAAAGACGACAAGTGGTCAGTTTGCTCCTCTTCACATCAGGTTTAAAGTCAAGTCACATCTTCTTTATCTGGTTTTACTAGGATAGGCAGCAGATTCTAACAGGCTCTAAAATGAATCTAAGGTCTCCCTTGATGACATCATTAATTTCAGAAGCCACCCTTCAGGTAGTAACCATCTCCCAAGGCAGTTAAGCTTGCACACAATACACCTAGGCTGCTTCTTAAGAGATCTGAAAGGGAGAAACCCCCTCTTATATTGCAACCTGCTTGCTTCATTTGCATGAATAGGTTTCTTCTGCAGATCCCATGACAGGAAGTCCCTGCCCCAACTGTACTTTTGATGCAACATCCACATTGTCAGTCACTGCCCCAGTTCTGCTGGTGTACACTGGGTGCAATCACAAAGAACAGAGGGGTTACGCTGGTGTCCATGCGTGTGTGAGAAGAAACTGGCTTGTAGAAGAGCTTCAAGTAAAATCTCTTTATGATTTACAAGCAAACTGTGTCAACATGGAGTGTAAAGACCTGTATAAAGTATTTTAGGCTAGGAGGCATGATGTGATTGTACTTAAAAAAGGAGTTTTTACATGTTGGATTGTTAATCAAAACCTATAGGCTCTGCTTTTAGCTAACTGCAATACAAGCTCTTTCGGTTACCCACCCTGATAGAAATGTTAAACACTTAAAAGCAATAATGCTGACCCAGCAAACTCCAAGCCTGTGTCACTGAAATGGTGATGCATTGTGTAGAATAGCTGCACATTCACAAAGCAAAACTCTGGGGAAAAGTTTTGGGATGTGAGAGATCACTTAAATGTTTCAAGTCAAACCAGGTTTTTATTGGTTTACTTTGGTTTTGTTCTTCTCCAAAACACTTCACATATGTAACATCACACAGAAGGAAGATATTTCCTTACAGAACAGTTTCTTCCACAGAGAAACTTATGCTTGCCCAGCACATGGCATGATGAGAGTCCCATTTGCTATCACATTGCAAAGGCTTGATTAAAACCAGGAAAGACGAGTCCATGAAATTGTAGTGACAATCTCAGGGCATTCCTTCACTGTTAGCACAGCAACTGATCTCTCAAAGAACAATTATATTGATTTCTTAATGCTTACCATGCTGCATCTTTGACACTAATATGGTAATTGCTTCCTTAAATGGCTGGGAAACAAACCCTTGTTCCATTAAATCAGGAAGAGACAGGAACAGGTCATTAAGTATACTGAAAACCATCCACATTAAAAGAGTTGCCATGCAAGGCCAAAACCACCAAGGGCCACAAGGATGATCAGGGGCTGAAGCACCTCCCATGCAAAGGCAGGCTGAGAACATTGGGGCTGTTGAGCCTGGAGGAGAGAAGCTGCATGGAGACCTCAGAGCAGCTTCCAGTGTCTGAAGGGGGCTACAAGGATGCTGGAGAGGGACTCTTCATCAGGGCCTGCAGGGACAGGACAAGGGGTGATGGGTTCAAACTGAAACAGGGGAAGGTCAGGTTAGATGTAAGGAAAAAGTTCTTCCCTGTGAGGGTGCTGAGGCACTGGAATGGGTTGCCCAGAGAAGCAGTGAATGCTCCATCCCTGGCAGTGTTCAAGGCCAGGCTGGACAGCGCCTTGGACAACATGGTCTAGGGTGAGGCATCCCTGGCCATGGCAGGGGGTTGGAACTCTTTAGGTCCTTTCCAACCCTAACTATTCTATGATACCAGAAACAGGGATGGGAGAATCGCCCTTCAATAAAATCTGAAGAGAAAATGTACTTGGTCCCAGTTTCATCTAAACAAACTCCCAGAAAGTCACAAAAAGGAATGCTACCAACATGCAGCTATGAAACAACAGGACTGGAAGGATCTTACTGTACACACAAAGTCAAACCTAACTTTTAAACCACTCTCTCATGACAAAACCTACAGATAAGAGGGAGCTCTTGAGACAAAACAAGACTGTTTTCTGGGTCATTCATCACCATAACATTTATAAGCAAAAGCCCAAGAGCAGATTTTTTCCCTATAAGCACTACAGGTGCCAAGAGCAACAGAGCCATATTTCATTTGGAAGTGACAGCAATTCTTTGTTCCTTGCAAGTGCATTACATTTAATCTTGATCTTGGAAATAGAAGAACAACGTTCTTCCCCTGGTCTGTTACAGAGGTTGGAATTCTACAGGATTTGAAATGAGGAAAACAATCATGGCAAAACCTGAAAATTGCTTTGGCAAACAGTTCCCAGATGGTTCTATAGGAAAATACCAGGATACAAAGTCCCATTTATAACTGAGAGCAATATTAACTAAGAAGTATTTTCCTGTTTCTGGAAGGTCTAACAACAAATGAACAAGGCTTGTTCCCGTCTTCTTTGCCTACTTGAAGAACATCAACTTCCCTTTGATTTAAGCACACCAGCACTTTACTATGTGTGCTTCCATTTCCAGCGCATGCAGAAAAGCAGTTCTGTTGCGAGACTGGCAAAGCACTCAGCTCCCAGTCCCTGCTTTAAGGTCTCCTTAAAAGCTACCATGAGTTTGTTTTCCAGATCCTAAACTTCGATGCTACCATCAGCAGAGCGTTCCCAAGGGGTCTGCACCACCACTTTGGTATCTGAAGTGTGTCAGCCCTCACGTTTCCTGGTGGCTGTAGCCTCCTCCTTTAACACTAAGTATTTCCAGAAGCTTTTTTATCTAATAACTACAAATCCCAGCTGCTTCCTGCACAGTCTCACATGCTTTGTTACCTAAGTTCACCTATGATTCAATCTGTAGAAAAAGAAGGATTTAGCCTAACTGTAACCTGGTTCAAAGCCAAGAGCAAAGATGACTTTGCATGACTGCACTGGGAGAAGCAGTCAGCGAGTCAGGCTGCTGTCAACACGTATTCTCTGCTATTTTATTCCACCAAAACACTCATGCCCAAGTCATGCAGGAGTTGCATGGAAGGTGCAGGGTCAAATTAAGAAGGTACATTCCCACAAAAAGCAGCCTGGCTGTATGCACAACCCACACATGGAAACAATCTCAGCACCCCAGGGTCTGTGGATGAAACAGAGCCAAGTGCTTGCTTCATGCAAGTCATATTGAGGGCACTCAGCTCAAACACAAGTTTAACCCCCCCACAACTTTGTCAAGTTTCTTTGCCCATCCCCATTCTGATCTCCTTATCTGCTGTAGTGAAGTGGTAAAGCATGTGGCTCAGGGGTGAGGAGAGCTGGGCCACCTCCCTTCAGCAATGGGTGCTGTGCTGGGGAAACCCCAGCACCATGGAAACTTGGTAACTGCAGATGCTCACCTGCAGCTGCTTGGGTTTCACCGAACCAGGTTTGCTTCTCTCCTCCCCTACATAAATGCTGCCCAAACTGGGGTCTTGCCCCAGTGTAAAGACTTCTTTTTGATCAGTTTAATACAGTGCATGTGATGAACAAACTCCCCCACTTGATCATATCATTATTGAAATAAAAATAGCAAAGTTAATCACACAAACCTTCTGCCTTCTCTTTCTGACAAAATGTCCACATGATCACTGCTGGATCAACTCTACCTCTGCTTGCTTGCTGCAAGTCTGGTCAGCACCAGCTTCCCACTGCAACCCATCCCAGCCCTTCCACTGATCCCCAGACTCTCTCTGTCCCACCTGCCCATCAAGGACCTGGATTTGCTGTGAGGCTCCTTTGAGATCATTACCTTCTGTTCGCTTCTTACCTTTATGACAATTATAATTTCCAAGGCATCTAAAGCATTGTAAGAGCCTGTAGGGCCAGGACAAGGGGAATGGCTTGAACCTGCCAGAGGAGAGACTGAGATGAGCTCTTAGGCAGAAGCTCTTCCCTGGGAGGGTGCTGAGGTGCTGGCACAGGGTGCCCAGAGAAGTTGTGGCTGCCCCATCTCTGGCAGTGTTCAAGGCCAGGTTGGACACAGGGGCTTGGAGCAAGCTGCTCTAGTGGAAGGGGTCCCTGCCCATGGCAGGGGATTTGAAGTGGATGAGCTTTAAGGTCCCTCCCAGCTCAAACCATCCTGTGATTATATGATTAGTTATGCCAACTGCACAAGAGCCCAACCTTTCAGGTAAAAAACCACAGCATCTTGAAAACTCTTTCAGGCTTAGAGCTGGAAGCAGACCTTGACTCTTGGGATCACCAATCCCAAATCACACTTTTGGGATGCTGTTTGAGCAACTGCACTGTTCTGGCTGGTTGACAGGCTACAGCCTTTGAAGGGTTATCACACATTGCTGTTTTTAGCAAAGGGCGAGGACCCTTGCAGTACTGCCCACCAAGATGATATCAAACCACCACTTCCAGCTCTGCATAACCCCTTTAAGGTGGGACTGAGACAAAGTGGTATCACCCTATGGAGTAAGTAGCTTTTCTGAGAGCTTTGCCTAAGCAGCTTTCCCAGAGAGCAAACTGGAACCTGTGTGCTGTGCCAACTCTCCTCCAGATCCGATAAAGGACCAACTTGCTGACAAACAAATCATTTATAAGCAGCTTATTTGACTGCTAAGTGGAAGAGATCTCATTGCTGGTAAGGAAGGGAAAGGAAACACTGGACTCTCTTCACCCACCACCTACTATGAGGTGTTCCTTGTTTGTGGCCATTTCTTTAACACACAGAATGAGAAAGGATGTACTGGTTCCTATGCCAAATGCTGAGGATCACGGATCAAAGAAACCCTTCTTGTAGAGCATCCAGTCTGTGCTGTTAGTGCAAGGAAGTAAAAAGGGACTTTACAGCAAACAATTTGCCATAGAGCAGATGGATCTCCAGGATTCCTGCCTCCCTCCCTGTTTAGACACACAATAAATACCTTAAGAAAGGGAGAAGAGATGTTCATCATCCCCTCAGAATCAGAGCAGAAGTTTTCTGCAAGCTTGCATGACTTGGACTTCCTTAGGAGAAATTAATGCTTAAACTGAAACTATGCAGTAGTCCCCATCAGCCTCCAGAAATACACTGTTCACATACGAGCAGTGGCTATATATGCCAAACAGATAATGAAA